AAATGGTTTATAATGAGATTCTCTTAATATCACAAAATAACTGTGGGTTGTCAAATCCCTGCATTAAATATATATTCATAAACCTCTCACTTTGACAGATGGAGCTTTTCTAGGGTTAGGATTTGAAGTTTTCCTCAGACACTGTCTTCCACCCATAGTTCCCAAATCCCTCTCTTCCGTTTTCATCTCCCTCTGAAATAAAAGCCCTGCCTTATTATGAATTTACTGGATTTCTCCTACCCAATGCACATTCTGCAGACTTGGTACACAATAGGTCTCTGTTCTGCATTCATGGTCTGGTTTTCAGTGCCAATTCTCTTTCGAAACCACAGTTACTTAGAATTGGCTTCTTTTTTATTGCGGGTTTTGTGCATTTGAACATGAAATGTCAGTTATATTTCGCGTTTAGGACTGACTGATGTTCAGTTATCTTTTTCTAATTGAGAAAGGCACCTTTTAATCACAGGTATCTGCATCATAATTTGCTTGCTCAAAATATTAAATATTTCTGGTTTTACCCACTAACATAAGGTTTGCGATGACTATAGCTTTCCCCTTTTTTGGTTAAACAAGGGACTTCTTGTGTTCTATGAGTTCTCAAGGTTTATAGGGCAAATTGATATTGTCTAATGCAGTATTTCTCAATCTTGGCAATTTGAAGATCGTTGGCTGAGGAATTCTGGGAGTTGAAGTCCAGACATCTTCAAGTTGCCAAGGTTGAGAAACACTGGTCTAATGGATATCATTCAGGATAAAAAAAATCAAATACCAGTAGTAGATAAGGTTTCTGCAGGCCAAGGCTAAATTCTTATGATACAGGGACCTTGGAGCATTCGAAAAGACCACTCCTGCCTAGAATCTGTTGAAAAACAACCTGGAGATTTTCTGGATTTTAGCAAATCTCACCAGAGATTGATTACACTTCCTGCCAAAGTCATTGGATATGTTTTATCCCCGATGGGCCCTGCAGCTACATAGCTTCAGATGTTTTCCAAGCCTCTGTTTAAATCCACACATCACAGAGATTTCTTGAGCTTACGTGCCCGGGTTGGGTGATGATAAAAAAGATGTTAAGCATATGATTCTATAGTGGCATGTCTAACGTGTGCCTGTTCATTCAGCCAGGCTTCCATGTATTTAACATCTATATGAAGCCGCTGGGTGAGATCATATGACAGCACGGGGTAAAGTACCATCAATATGCAGATGATACACAACTGTATCTCTCTGCCCCATGCCAGCTCAGTGTAGCGGCGGATGTGATGTGCAGATGCCTGGAAGCTGTCAGGATCTGGATGGGGGGTGAACAAACATACGCTCAATTCCGATAAGACTGCATGGCTTTGGATGCTGCCCCTGAAGGACAGCCCAGATAGTCCATCCTTAATCCTGGGGGGTGAAAATTTACACCCCTCGGAGAGGGCCCACAATTTGGGGTGCCTCCTGGATTCGCAGCTGACACTAGAACACCATTTGCCGGCTGTGACCAGGGGGGGCTTTGCCCAGGTTCGCCTGGTGCACCAATTGCGGCCCTATTTGGATCAGGAGGCACTTCAAACGGTTACTCACGCCCTTGTCACCTCAGGGTTGGATTATTGCAACGTGCTCTACATGGGGCTACCCTTGAAAAGCGTTCGGAGACTGCAGCTAGTCCAGAATGCGGCCGCACGAGCGATATTGGGTGTACTGAGGTACACCCACGTTACACTTGTCCTCCACGAGCTGTGCTGGCTACCAATTGGTCTCCAGATGCAATTCAAGGTGTTGGTTATCACCTTTAAAACCCTACATGGTTCAGGACCAGCGTATCTGCGAGACCGCCTACTGC